TACACTCTTTATCCAAAAAATGCCATCAATGGAGTGACGAGTCTGTTAGGAGAAATTCTAATTTAGGCTAATGGGCAAACTTGTGGTTTTAATTCTAACGAAAAATCCAAAGGCCAAACCCCTTATTTGCACCTTGCACATTATTTTTACCTGCAGTCAACACCCGTAAGAAATTTGACTCTTGGTTAACACCCTCTATAATTTAAAATTCATAAAAAAAAACTCAAAAATTAACAGTCAAACCCCTTATTTGCACCCTAATTTTGTTGGCAATTTGGGGGTTTTTACAGGTTTTAAATTATGGAGGGTGTTGACTGCAGAAAAAATTAATGTGCAAGGTGCAAATAAGGGGTTTGGCCAAATCCAAAAGCAACACCAACATGTTTAAAGTTCATGGTTCAACTGATAATATTTAGTTTTCTAAATGGAAAATCTAAACCATGAGAAACACTGCATCTAAAAGGGAAAAAAAAAAAAAAGTGAAGAAAAATCCATTTACATACAGGGAGTTGATATTCTGTTTCAGAAATTCGGCGTCCCCCTTTGATTGCAAAACTAGCACAACCTGGATATTTGCCTTTCCTTGAGTACAGATCAAGATACAAATACCCCAAGTCACCCTGAAAAAAATGCATAACAACTCAATCAAATTATGGAACAGATGATCAAAATTGTAGCAGCTTTTAAATTTGCAACAAGGGGACAATGATAGTAGGAACCATCTACCTCTTCGGGATGATGAAGACACATTTTAAGCACACTTGGATGCCATGTTTCACCTCGTGCCAGTGGAACACTATCAAACCTTGCCCCAAATAATGACTCCACCAGGACTTTCAAACCCTTGATACATTGAGGCAGAGGAAAATATGGTGCTACAACCTGCCACATAAATTTAAGAAAAACTCATGCATTTGAAAGAATGAAGAACACCTAGACCTGGAACATGAAAATGAAGAAACTAATTTGTCAAAAAAAAAAAAAGGACAACAACAACAACAACAACAATTAGAACTCAAAGTATTTACTCCATCACACCAGTCTAAAACCACAAGCAACGAAAAAATAAATGGTAAGCAAATGAATAGAAATTTATGATACCGAAGGATCCAAATTGCAAGCAGAAGACTTCATCATTGCTGTGTAGTATGTTTCATCCCATGGCTCCAAATCTACATACCTTTGACAACTTTTTTCCCTCTTCAAATCTCTAATTTTTTTGATCTCCTAAAAGTAAATGACAGTAAAGGAAAGCAATTAAAACTGATCTAAGACCATATAGCAGCAATATTTCATGCCTCATCTCAAAGTATTTCTGCAAAGAATGCAGTACCTCATCAGCCTTTGGTCTGACCATTCTGCTCATCTCAAGCAAAAACGGCATCACAACCTCTGGTGAGGAAGCCATGTTTGGCTTCATTACAAATTCAGCATAAGATTTATACCCCATTATCTGCATTTTTCAATAAAGAATAAATGAATGGAGATTGGAGAATAACTATAATGAAAATAATAACTTTAGTTAATACATGAATCAGAATAATGGTCCTTAACACCCTGAAGTGTCATTATGATTCAAATTAGACATCTGAGTGCAGAAGATAATCAACAAATAAGGATGGATAATTATTACTGGAAAATAAAGTTCCAATCATCTTGGCCAAACTTACAAAAGAACCAATATCTTTCTTATCAAATATCAGATTCTCCTAAGAGATTAATAATTCAAAGAGCAATCTAAATACTAATGGAAGCACAGTTCATATTTAAGGTCCATCCACAAAGGCTGTTGAAAATTGGTTGGAAAATGCTCATGCAGAAAGCAAGAAATGAATCAACACTCAATGCTTAGAAAAGCATCTCTAGTAGTTAGCCTGTAGAAATCTTAAAACTCCCATTGTGCAACCCAAGAGCAAAAAAAAAAAGAAACATATCAGAGCATTAGAAAAAATGGCTAGCTTCTACATGAGAATGCAATTACTGTCTTGGTCTCAGGCAGTTCACCTCAAAAAGGAGAAACTGCACGAATTCCTAACATAGCCAATACAAATACAATATCATCATCTTTCAATTTCATAAATAAGGTGGTGACTTATTTTCTGAAAGAGGGACTTTTTGAATGTAAACACTTGGAAAATCCTTCGACATAGAGTCTTATAGGTTGTGATAGTAAACACAAAAATAAAGTATATACATAGTTATGAGTGGTTATAAGATTAATCATCATTATGCAAAATCCAAGAGCTTTGTTGTACAATGCAAAACTCTGTAATGATGGTAATAACCTGAGCAAGCTCATGTCGGGCAGCTATAAGTTCGTCAAGAACTTTGAAGTTTGCATGTGGGACAGAGTTTCCTTTCACATAGACCATTTTCCTTACCTGAGAACAATGGGAGGAAAAGAAATTAGGGCATGATGAACTATTTGAGTGCAACTGGAAAACTCAGATGGTGTAATGATCAGAAGGTTTGGCTACTTAAAATCAGTCAAAATTCTCATTTCTTTAGAGAATTCTGAGTACTTTTAGTTCAGTAAACTAATCTGAGACGATCAATTAAAATACCAGTTCAATAAAATGAAGAAAACAAGAGCAACAGAAGGGTACGAGAGAAAAGATGAAAACTACCTCATCATCTGGTGTTGATTGGAGAATTGAGGATACAGTTTGGGGCTCAGTTATTATACGAAATCCCTTTCCTTTCACATTAGTTGGTGACCCTAGTGACTCCAATGACACTCCAGATGTGGATTGATAAATGGGCTTAAGGAGATATTGTATATGTCTTGGAATCCGTGATGCAGGAAAGATATCCACATGACCTGGATCAATAATAATATTTTCACCAAACCTGAGAAGAACCAATGCATATAAATATAAATCAAGATCAAAGAGACTTTCTTTAAGAGACATTTTCACTGATTATGCTACTGGATAAATGAGAATGAAACCAAGAAGGAATTGTTCTTACTCCCGGCATAGCTGAAGAATATCTATATGTAGCTGATTCACTCGATCTAATTTTTCTACATAAGGAATTTGGCTGTTAGTTCCAAGAAAAAGATAACTATCTTGTGATAGAAATGAAAGCCAATAACAATACAATATATACCATTACAGAGATGAATTCCACCCTTCTCAAAGTCCACACGGAGGTAATGGGCAGCTCTATGAGCTTCCTTGGTAAATGAATCACCATTGTGCTCTGCTCTTTTTACCGCATTATAAAGAGTATGATTCGTATTGAGATACTGAACACCAACAAGGAAAAGCACTAATTTATCACAAGCAATTGCTCATAAATTCTCAATGCACATGCAGTGCAATGTGTTTGAAAGGAATGCTACTACAATCTACCTATCCTATCTTCAAATATTGTTTCACCTATTTTTCTTCTTCTAATAAACCTTTTGAAAACTAAATCCACAATGATGGAAACAATCTTATTATAATGCAAATTCTGGTTTTTTACCTCTGATGCTTAGTTAGCCTTCTTCCCACACACAATCTGAAGAGTTATATACATTATACATGAAAGACCTTTTTTTCTGGTACACACTTCACAACTATACTCTAGTCACATCAAGAACACAGTCTCATGGGAGAAAAACGCATGAACTATCCAATAAATTTCAATGCCATACAAAGCAATGGTCACCTCACATGTAGATACTCATTAATTCTCATTGACGCCTTGTTGGCTTCATCAACGAACTCCCTGTTACACCAAAAATGAAATTGAAATGAAAAAACCAAAATATAAGCATTGTTCAAATTGAGAACCTATATACATGATATCCTTCAAGAATAAGAAAACAAGAACCTGTCCGGATGAGTTTGTCTGCACAGTTCAGCAGAATCCACTACAGAACATACCTACAATAAAATCAAAAGCTGCAATCATTCTAGAACCTCATAACAATGGAATTAAAATTACAAAAATGAAAATTAATATCAAAACAGCAGAGAACCAACAGCGTCTGAGATTTCGTCCATGGCTCGGATTATTTCAGATGAGGACGGCATCTTAGATATATAATTAACCAGCTCCCCGGATCTAACAAGCAAAAACATAATTGCAATGAACAACTTGAAAAAGGAGGCATCAAAACGTTGAATTTTATAACTTAAATAAATTTCCTTTCCAGCATTTTCTAAGCAACCAATCAACAACACGAAGAGAAAAGCATATGTAAGTACACATATGCACTCACCCAGCAGCGCACAGGCCGTATAAAGCTCCTAAAGACCAAATATACGACGAAAGGATCAAAATTTGAAGATATTCAGGAAGCAAAATCAGCTCTTCGTGTTTACCTTTCAATGGCGTCATCGACAAAGCGCCGGAAACCTTTGGCGGTCTTCAAGTGATCAAAGCCATAGAGACCAGTAGGTACTCCGTTGTCTCGACTTACGGCCCGGCTCCGGAAGTACCGGGTTTTAGGGTGAAGCGAAAATCGTAAATTGAGAATTTTTCTGAGAAGAAATTTCGGGTGGAGTCCATGGATTGGGATCCGCATTTCCTTCGGCGGCGCTGCTAACGGTGGTGTCGTACTGCCGTGAAGCTTTTGCGCCTTTGCCGCAGCACCAGAGCAATTTAGCGTTGCGGAATTGGATATGTTAATGGATCAGGCTGAGCCGAGTCTGTCAAGAGTCCAATAGCCTTGGGTCTAGCTCAACCATGTCCAAGCCCAATCAGGAACTATCGGGAATCAAATTTCTTCACTATCAACAATTG